GAATTACTATATTCTCTCTCCCAATTTTTTTTTTTTTTTGTCATTAGTGGCTGCAAATGAGAGGCAATTTATTTTTAAAATATGAAATTAAAGATATGTCACAACAGAATTGTTTACAGATAAATAAGTCCTGGAAGATTCAAGGTATGTTTTTTTAAAAAAGAGAAGGTTATTTTTTGTAATGTAACCACAAATTAAAACTCTCCTTGATTCCTTTGTTAATAGCATTCTCCTATAAAGAATATTAACATCTTTGGGGGTCTTAAACTCCAATACATGCTGCTTATTCTTAAAGGTCCCAAATAGTCTCTTTCCCCATAGAATTTTTTTTTTCCTGCTAGACCATGAAAACAGACAATAAAATGTTACCATATCCATGCTGCAACAGAAAACTTAAAGAAGGCCATGTTCTAGCAGCTTTGTCTACTTTAATTCTAACATATCAAAAATAAAAAATTACCCAAGGCAGATTTAGGACTGTCTGCATCTCTTTCTACTATTTTGAATTCACTGTGACAGGTACTAGAATACTTATAAAATTTTAATTCCCAGAGTATTTTTTTCTCATAAAATAATATTATAAATTTCTGTTCAACTGCTTTTTTTTTTTAAATGCTAACATAGTTTTTCAGTACTCCAAAGGCCAAATTTTATATTACTGGCTTCATAAAGTTAAAATTCCTATTAACTGGTATAAGTCATAAGAGTATAAAGAGAAATTTTTTGTTTCAGTTGATACTTTAACCATATTTTAGAAGAAACTGTTCCATGTAACTAGTCTAATGAATACTAACAATGCTATCGAAAGACACGTAATGACTTCCAACCCCCTTAATTTTAAGATCCTCTGGATTAACCAGATACAAAGAATTATTTACACTAAGAAGCCTTGAGAGAAAATGAATAGAGAAGGAAATTCATCAAAAATTGGAAATAAAGTAACAATGAAGAGTTAAAAAATGAGTCAGGAATCAATAGAAAATGTAGTCTCCGTCAAAGACACGGTACACAAAACTCCTCAGGACTCTAGTTCTCCCTTCTTGGGGCACCTTAACCCAGACTCCTGCAAAGCTCACTCCCCCACTTCCCAAGGCACCTCTGCAGTAAGGCCTCCACACTGTTTACAGGCACAAAACAGTCCTCCCACCTCCTAACTCCTAACTCTCCTAATGACCTATTTCTTTTCCACTGAACTTACCACAAAAGACACTACATAATATTTTTATTTAGTTTATTGTTGGTCTTCCTCTCCTCGGCAATAAAAAGTGAGTCCCATCAGGGAGAGGTTTTTGTCTATTTTGTTCGCTGATGTGTCTTCAGTGTCTAGAAGAGTACTTGAGGACACTGAAGGCACTCAGGAAATATCTACTGAATAACTGAGTGAATGAATACACAACTATGCATATAATAAATAGATTCAAAGTAATACACTTTTGTGTTCCCACTGGAAAACAAGTAATAATAAACCTGATTTTAATCAGCCAAGAGGTCATATGAATAAATGTACACACACATACAGCTACAAATCACTTCACATTTTCCCCTTTAATGTCTCAATTACTAACATATAATTACCTGCATCTTCCAATAGAGCACAGAGCAATAGGATCACCCACCACAGCAACCAGGGATTGTGCTCGTGTGATGGCAGTATTGAGAAGCTTGTAGTTAGACAAAAAACCATAATCTAAGTCCTCTGTGGAATCTTCCAGAAGTTGCTCTTTCTTTTTAATTGGTGTCTGTTTATGTTTACAAGTATGTCTTGTACGTACTGTGCTAAGAAACAAAACTCTGAATTGCTTTCCTACAAAAAAATTTAAAAAAGAAGACAACATTATCATTCTGAACCACTAATATAATAAAAGCATTACATTTCTTTTTTTTTTTTTTTTGTCTTTTTTCGTGTCTGGCAACGGATCGCACCCCTCAGTGTCGCGCCCGTACCGGACCGGGACCGGCACCGGGATCACACCCCTCGGTGCTGCATCCGCACCTCGCTCAGCCAGTGAGCGGGAACCGGTCTGTACGTGGGATCCGAACCCGCGACGGGAGCGCCGCCGTGCTCCCAAGCGGCGCACTGTAGCAGTGCGCCACCGGGCCGGCCCCAGCATTACATTTCTTTTTTTTTTTTTTTGTCTTTTTTCGTGTCTGGCAACGGATCGCACCCCTCAGTGTCGCGCCCGTACCGGACCGGGACCGGCACCGGGATCACACCCCTCGGTGCTGCATCCGCACCTCGCTCAGCCAGTGAGCGGGAACCGGTCTGTACGTGGGATCCGAACCCGCGACGGGAGCGCCGCCGTGCTCCCAAGCGGCGCACTGTAGCAGTGCGCCACCGGGCCGGCCCCAGCATTACATTTCTTTTTTTTTTTTTTTGTCTTTTTTCGTGTCTGGCAACGGATCGCACCCCTCAGTGTCGCGCCCGTACCGGACCGGGACCGGCACCGGGATCACACCCCTCGGTGCTGCATCCGCACCTCGCTCAGCCAGTGAGCGGGAACCGGTCTGTACGTGGGATCCGAACCCGCGACGGGAGCGCCGCCGTGCTCCCAAGCGGCGCACTGTAGCAGTGCGCCACCGGGGCGGCCCAAGCATTACATTTCTTAAAATGTAGTTGCTAAAGAACAGATGTTGGTGAGGATCTGGAGAAATTGAAACCCTTGTGCACTGCTGGTGGGAATGTAAAATGGTGCAGCTGCTGTGGAAAACAGTATGGCAGTTCCTCAAAAAATTAAACACAGAATTACCATAAGATTCAGCAATTCCACAACTGGGTATACTCTCAAAAAACTGAAAGCAAGGTCTCGAAGACAGATTTGCATACCCATGTTCATGGCAGCATTATTCACAATAGCCAACAGGTAGAAGTAAGCCACGTGTCGAGGGGCAGATGAATGGATGAACAAAATGTGGTATATACATACAATGAATTATTCAGCCTTAAAAGGGCATGAAATTCTGACACATGCTATGACATGGATGAACTTTGAAGACATTATGCTAAGTAAAATAAGCCAGTTGTAAAAGGACAAATACTATTTGTTTCCACTTGTATGAGGTACCTAGAATAGTCAAATTCATAAAGACAGAAAGTAGAATGGTCCCCCCAGGGGCTAGGGGGAAGGTGGGAAGGGGAGTTGTTGTCTAATGGGTACAAAGTTTTAGTTAGGGAAGATAAAAAAAAGTTCTGGAGATGGGTGATGGTGATGGCTGCATTACCATGTGAATGTGCTTAACACACATAAATATGGTTAAAATGGTAAATCTTAAGTTATGTATATTTTATCACAATAAAAAAATGTATTTTAATATTACTGCGGGAACCAACCTTAGAGATTATCTAGTCCAAGTTCCCACCCAATACAAGGACCCTTCCTTGAAGCAGGGTCATCATCAATCCTCTGGCCAACCAGGGCAGAGACAGCTGATTCCATTAGGAAGCCTTACAGAGAGTCTGGTTTGTACATCTTTCTTATGCTCTTTTATAGTAACATATCTATCCCCCCATTCTATGATAAATCTCCAAATATCTGAATACACTTTTAATGTCCATCTTTTACTCTTTTCTAGGCCAAACAATCCTAGTTGTTTCAACCATTCTTGACTCTCACATGACAGTCTCTAGACCATTAACTCTCCTAAATCTCCTCTGGTGCTTTCTAGTTTATGCTCACCCAGATTCTGCATGTTCTGGACAACACATGATATAGTGGAGCTACTTCTCCTCTATAATCTAGACATTGTATTACTCTTGCTATTATATATGACCATGCAACCTAACATTGTACCGGGCTTTTTTTTAGCACTCACATCATAGTGTTGCTACATATATTTAAAAACACAGATTTTACAGCAATTAATTACATGAAGACAATTTAAAAGAGTTGCTGGTAACTATTCACTCAAGAAACTCTATAGATAAAATCTTTACAAAGAAACTAGTCCTCAGGTACAATATAACAACAACATATGTTATATTCTATCATGATTGTAACTACAGCATACAGATATTACATGGCATTTATATAATTAATGATCACGGGAAAAGTCCATTTGATAATACTTCTTTTATTCGGATATAAAAATTTAATAAATATGTAAATGAGTTTGACCTTTAATTGCCAAACTTGACATTAAAGAACTTGGTATGAAATGAATACATAATTGCTTGTCCAAGAAAGAGATCCTGACAATTGAAAAATCAAATGTGAACACAATTTAAGACTCATGCATTTAAATAATTTAATTCATTTCTATTAATACTTACCTTGAACATTTAGCACCCTTTCCACATTAACATCAGATAATCTCTTTTTTCGAAGTTCAGCACGTATCCTAAACACTTGATCAGCGTAAGGAGTCACCACACCAATACTGCCATCATCTAACTTCCCCCATGCTACTGGCCACTTCCTTCTTAACTCTTCTACACGTTCCACCACTTCAAATACCTTTAAACAAATATACACATACATAATAAAGTTACCACCAGTGTTTGGAGAAAAGAATTAGTAACTGAAATAGACTTATAAAAAATTCCATTTTAGCAAATACCATTTAAAAAATTACCTCTAAATGGGAGTAATTCGTTACTGATGTGAACAGTGAAATTAAAAAAAACTTTATTTACATTTCAAACAGTAAAAATCTATAATAATGCAATCAGTGGAAATGTGAAAATTAGAGACAATGTAACTGGCAACGGCCCCATCCTTCACCCAAGCCCCCATTCCTAAATGAGGACAGGCTCAAGTTCAAGAATAAGGCCATGAAACTGGAGAAAGCAAGGAAATAAGTTCCCACATCTCCAGTATTTCTCAGTCCACTGTGTCCAGATCAGGCCAATGAAACCAACCAATGAACTAGAAAACTCCTGCAATCAGTGCTACCATTAAGTCTTCTTAATGGGGTACAAGGTCTAGCATTGCTCCTTCCCCCACTGATATAACTAAGCAGACCAGCCAACAGCCATCAGCTGACACCAAACCATAGCCAGGATTAGGACAAATTTGGATAAGACAGACTTTCAGAAATCACTACCTTCTAGTGGTAAAAGTCCAGCCAGGCTATTTCATTAAAATACCACATTTTACACAATAAATTTTTTGGATCACACTTATTGGATTATGGTAGGGTTTTTTGTGTAGTTTGATCTATTTTACTTCAATGAATTGATCAAACAGTTTCAATGTTTGGCACAGTGGGGGATACAAAGATTAATAAAACATGTTCCTTACCTGCTAAGAGACTACTGTTTGTTTAGAAAACAAAGTTCTAATAAAAAAATATAGGGCCGGCCCAGTGGCGCACTGGATAGTGCGCTGCTTGGGAAGCGCGGCGGCGCTCGTGCCCGAGGGTTCGGATCCCACATACAGACCGGTTCCCGCTCACTGGCTGAGCGAGGCGCGGGAGCAACACCGAGGGTTGCGATCCCGTTGCCGGTCCCCGGTCCGGTACGGGGGCAACACTGAGGGTTGCGATCCGTTGCCGGACACGGAAAAAAGACAAAAAAAAAAAAAAATATACACAGGTACTTCAAAAAAGTTCATGGAAAAATAGAATTAAAAGATAATATGATTCTTTCCATGNAGGGTTGCGATCCGTTGCCGGACACGGAAAAAAGACAAAAAATATATATATATATATACACAGGTACTTCAAAAAAGTTCATGGAAAAATAGAATTAAAAGATAATATGATTCTTTCCATAAAGTTTTTGAAGTAGCCTCGTATATTACCCAAGTTCAGTACAGGGTCAGGTAAGAGTCTAGGGGCATATACAGGAAGGAGGAAATGTAAAAGATGTCACTTAAGTACATTATTTATTTACTATTTATTAAAAAATAATGTACTTAAAAGACATCTTGAGGTTACCAGAAGTGGGAAAGGGAGAGGAGGCATAAGAGAGGAATTAGTAAAGGGCCGTGAAAAATGGTTACATTGTTTATTTTTGAATATACTAATTACCCTGACTTGAGCATCACATATTATACACAGGTATTGATATTCAACTCTGTACCCCACAGATATGTACAACCTACTATGTTACAATAAAAAATTTTTAAAGAATGTATTTAAATTTACAATGTTAAATATGCTTAGTAAAATTTGACATTATCGTTTCAAGAACTTGAGGATCATTGGCTAGGAAGCAGTTCCCATTTCCAGACACAAATTCAATAAACGACAGAGTTAAAGAATATAGTTGTCTTATTGTTATAAAGACAAAACAGAAAGTGCCTCAAATACACAGACTGCCCAGGAATTCTGAAGAGCCAACTGGACTAAAGACTGGTTGGTATCCTATCAGGAATAAGAAAGGTGGAGCTAAGTCTACTGCAATAAGAAATAAGAAAAAACTGTCTTTACCCACGTGGTCAGTTATAGTGGTAGATGAAAGTTGGGAAGGCACCTCTGCTGCCCCCGTCCCCAAAATACACAGAGTTCCTACCACTAAGAAACATATAACCATTTCTCCAATTTATCCCTCTGTTCACACCCTTACATTCTAGGCAACACAAAACTGTCATCAAAACACACAGATTTGGAACAATGGTATGAGAAGCTTGGGGAAACATCTTTCCCAGACAGACATCTTTAAGATGGTCAAAATTAGCAAAAATACAGAAGATTGATCAAAGTGCTTACAAGAAATTGAAAAGCATTTACTCAACAAAATCTACAGGAACTCAAGAGAAACAATGAGAAGCCAGGGCATTCAAGCTAGGGACTGCACCTATCCCCCACAGCTCTAACTGTTTCAATGTCCAAGAGGCAATGCCCATCAACCCCAGCTCCATGGGTGAAAGAGCTACTCCAGGTAGTTCTGGCAGGTGGTAAACACAGCAGATCCCATTTCCCACAGATCTGTGCTGCAGAAGGCCTATATTGAGCAGTTGGCAATAGTTGGGTGGTGCCTGTTCCCCCACCCCCATCTCCTGCTACATAGAGAGAATCTGAGTAGAACAGCAGATGAAAAATGCAGTCTCCCTCTGTATTGCAAGAGAGCTGATCCAACAAGCTTGGTAGCCAAGCTATGGTTCCCATCTTCTCCAGCTTTCCAGGACAGAAGACCTAACCCTGTGTAGACTCAGTAGCCAGTGAATATTAGCAGATCCCAACCTCCTCTGGTCTGGGTTGCAGAAAATCCACACTGGGTGGTGGCAGTAGCTTGATGGCAGAACCTGGACTGCAGCATAGATCACACACAGTACACACAGAGCTCCTGCTCCACAGGGTGGATGCAGATGGAACAGCCAATGAAAAAGCAAATCCACATCCTCTCCCAGCAACTGCTCCATAAGTTCTGTACAGGAGAGGGTGAGAGTAAGCCTCACAAACTGTCTATGCTCTGCTTCTGTCAAGGGACCCTGGATCAAACTATGGAGCAATTTATGCCTAAGAGAGTTGAAAAGTAAAAATAACAAATAAAAAATGTACTAGTAGGAATCAACAGTAGATTTGAGCTAACAAAAGCAGATTTGAAGGTAGAGATTATGCAATTTGAAGAACAGAAAGAAAAAATAATGAACAAAGCCTCAGAGAATTGAGGGACACCATTAAACTCACCAACATACATATAACAGGAGAACCAACAGGAGAGGAGAGACAGAAAGGAACAGAAAAAATGTTCAAAGAAATAATGGCGGGGCCGGCCCGGTGGCGCACTGCTACAGTGCGCCGCTGGGGAAGCGCGGCAGCGCTCCCGCCGAGGGTTCGGATCCCACATACAGACTGGCCGCTCACTGGCAGAGCGAGGTCCGGGAGCAACATCGAGGGTTGCGATCCCGTTGCCGGTCCCGGTCCGGTACGGGCGCAACACTGAGGGTTGTGATCCGTTGCTGGTCACGAAAAAAGACAAAAAAGGGAAAAAAAAAAAAAAAAAGAAATAATGGCTAAAAATTTTCCATATCTGAAGAAAAACATTGATCTATGTGAATAAGCTCAATGAACTTTAAGTAAGATGAATGCAAGGAGTTCTATACCCAGACATGTCAGAGTTAAAATGCCAAAAAGTCAAAGAAAAAGTAAAATCTTGAAAACAGCAAGAGAAAAACAACTCATTGTTTACAAAGGATTCCAATAAGATCAACAGATGATGTCTCATCAGAAACAATGGAGTCCAGAAAACAGTGAAAAAACATATTTCCATGCACTGAAAAAGTTCAACTAATAATCTCATTTCCAGAAAAACTACCTTTCAAAAATGAAGGTAAACAAAGACATTACCAGATAAGCAAAAAGTGAGAGAATTCCTTACAAGCAGACTCTCCCTGAGGAAATACCAAAGGAAGTTCTTCAAGATGAAAGCAAATGATACAAAACATTAATTAAAATCCACACAAACAAAGCGTGCTACTAAAAAAGTAATTACAGGGGCTCACTTGGGAGAGTGTGGTGCTGATAACACCAAGGCCACGGGTTCGGATCCCTACATAGAGATGGCCCGGTTTCCTCAGCTGGAACAGTGTGGTGCTGACAACACCAAGTCAAGGGTTAAGATCCCCTTACCGGTCATCTTTAAAAAAAAAGTAATTATGTGGATAAATATAAAAGACAGTAAAACAGCATATTTCTTCTCCTTTCTCCTCCTGACTTAAAGAGCAATTGCATAAGACAATATGTATACAATTGTATTGTTAGGCTACAACATATAAAAATGTAGTATGTTTGATGATAGCACACAAAAGATGTGGGTGAAAAATGGCACCAGATCCATAGAGAAAAGAAAAAAGACTCAGAAACAGTAAACAAGAATGTTAATAAAGCAAATTCTATAAATATGCATTTATCCTCCTTTCTTCTCTTAGAATTTTTAAAAGACATAAAATTACATAAAGTAATAATTATAACAATGTATTGCTGAGTTTGTAATATATAGGAATAATAGGTATAACATTAAAGCACAAAAAGGGAGGGGAGGGAATAGAATCATGTCAGAGTAAAGTTTCTATATCTCATTGGAATTAAGTTAGTATAAATTTTAAGTGGATTCTGATAAGTGTAGATGTGTATAGTAAGCCCTAAAGTAACTGCTAAGAAAATAACTCAAAAAATATAGTTAAAAAACAATTAAAGACATTAAAAAATGTGACATTAGAAAACATGGACTTAATACAAAAGATAGCACTAAAAGAGAAACAGAGGGGCAAAAAAATGCATGAGACATAGAAGAAAAACAAAAGCCAGAGAAAAACCCAACCATATCTATAATAATATTAAATGTGAATGGATTAAACAATCCAATCAAAAGGCAGAGATTTTCAGGCTAGATTTTTTTTTTAAATAACAAGATCCAATGATATGCTGTCTAAAAGAGACACACTTTAGATTCAAAGGTATAAATAGGATGAAAAAAAAGGATGGAAAAAGATAATTCATGGAAGGAGCAACAATGAACAAGATAGACTAGTTATACTAATATCAGACAAACTGACTTTAAAGCAAAAAAAAATTACTAGAGATAAAGGACATTTTATAATCATAAAAAGGTCAATCCATCAGGAAGATATAACAATTATAAATACATATACAACTAACTACAGATTCCCAAAATATATGGGGCATTTTCCTCTATGCCTCAGGACCCACCAAACCCAATGGATTCATTTTTCATTTATCTACAGCCCTGTCTACCTCTCACTTAAACATACTGTTATGGTTGTTTCCACAGCTCCTCCCTTCAGACTGAATTTCTCAAGGTTAAGAATTATATCTTGGTACTTAGTATTTAAATTATGCTTTTTTCAACTTAGCATTAAATTGAGACCATTATTATGGGATATGAATTCAGAATCAAGGGGAAAAAAGGATGATCTTTTTTTTTTTTTTTTGTCTTTTTCCGTGTCCGGCAACGGATCGCAACCCTCAGTGTCGCCCCCATACCGGACCGGGACCGGCAACGGGATCGCAACCCTTGGTGCTGCTCCCGCGCCTCGCTCAGCCAGTGAGCGGGAACCGGTCTGTATGTGGGATCCAAACCCTCGGCGGGAGTGCCACCGCGCTTCCCAAGCGGTGCACTATAGCAGTGTGCCACCGGGCCGGCCCGAAAAAAGGATGATCTTTTTTTTTTTTTTTTGTCTTTTTCCGTGTCCGGCAACGGATCGCAACCCTCAGTGTCGCCCCCATACCGGACCGGGACCGGCAACGGGATCGCAACCCTTGGTGCTGCTCCCGCGCCTCGCTCAGCCAGTGAGCGGGAACCGGTCTGTATGTGGGATCCAAACCCTCGGCGGGAGCGCCACCGCGCTTCCCAAGCGGTGCACTATAGCAGTGTGCCACCGGGCCGGCCCGAAAAAAGGATGATCTTATTCTTATTCTACCACTTTAAGCATGTAAAAGACACAAATTCAAACGATACACAAAGTATATGATATTAGACTTAAAAATGTGTTCCCCAAACAATGGAGAGTTATACACAACAAAAATACTATGATTATTCCTTAAGCTCCAGGTTCTTTAATTTTACTTTTAATTCCAACCTCTGTTTTAAGTTCACTTTGACTGTAACACTATGTAATATCTTATTTTCATAAAAGTGGAATTTAAACTATTCTCAAATGCCCTCCTAAATTTTAGTCAGAATCTTTATAAAAGATGAGATCTCATTTTCTACCTATCAATGTAACTGGTGCCATTTGATGTGTTTGCTCTGTAAGACAAAATAGAAGACCAGCCAACAGCCTGTTTTTTTATTTTATTGCAAGGTTAATGAAATAGCCTGGCTGGACTTTTACCACTAGAAGGTAGTGATTTCTGAAAGCCTGTCTTTCTGATCCAAATTTGTCCTAATCCTGGCTATGGTTTGGTGTCAGCTGATGGCTGTTGGCTGGTCTTCACCCTTAATTTACACTTCACCTTTAAATTACATACCATCAAGAAGAGTCCAGGGCTTCTAAAAATACTTTAGTGTCCAAATATGCCTACACTGGCATTTAAAAATTCAAAATGCCTACACTGGTACTCAGCTGCAGTGAATAAGGATCAGTTTTTGCCCCTTGTAAAGAGAGCACCTGGAGCAATGTGCCACCAAATTTTTAACTGCAGTAACTCATGGAGCTTAAAAGAGTAACTGAAAAAACCAAGCTCTCGTGAAGTTCAAGTGGCCTGAAATTTCTCTAAAGTTACATGTGTAATATTTAAAGGTCACACAAATGTTGTCTCTGCTTTTTTAATATGAAAAAATACATATTTTTCCAAAAAATTCTTGGATAAAATTGAAAGTCCAGGAAGATGCACCTTATCAATCCTACAACTTGTAGGTTACTGGGAAATAAACCATGTCACTGTGAAGGAACAAGTAACCCAGACTGAGAAACTGAGCCTTGGGCAAACATCAACCTCACCTCAGGATCAAAACTAGGGCTCAGCTCTAGCCCTGATGTCACAGTAGGACCACTGAGCCTTCTGGATTTCAGGCTCTGCTTGCTGGTGCCTGTCTGCCTCCCCACCCAATACCATGGCTGGTTTCCCGGCCAGTGGTTTCCAACCAGATTGCAAAAATAATAAAGAGGAACCCTACAGTTATTTTCAATATTTCAAATATTTAAAGAAAAGTCTACCTTTTCCTAAAATGAAATGGCACAGACTAACTAAAATGTCAAGTTTCTTTGTCCCTGGCTAGGATTTTATCAAGTGAGTACTGATGATTTTCATGTACTGACTTCTAACTACAGGCCTCTGAGCAATTTTTAAAAGAAAAGATGAATTACTATTATATAATAAAAGCCAATTGATTGTAAGTAAAATGAATAAAGCATAGGATGGTGAAGATGAGCGAACAAGAACCATTCCCCGAATAATCAACCACGTGCTCCTCCCTTCTCCAAGTTTCCTGAAGTCCAGAACTTAACCCCAGGGTTTCTGGCCTATCATCCCCTGAAGACTGCACCATGTTTTTGTCCTGTCTGATCTGACGCCTCTTAGTCTCTCTCACCTTAAAAAGCCAGAAATTGTAAGAGAACTATATAAGAAGGGGCACATAATGGGACATCAACATCATTAGCTGGGTCTGTATAATCTCTTTGGAACACAGGATTCCACAATTCACGTCTTACTCATCTAAAACAATACCTCATTTGAGTATGCACTACCAAATTTAATTAGATCTATTTTAGATGTCTAACAATAATGGTCTATATGACAATAATATTGGCTTTTCTTTTAAATTAAGTCACGTATTTTTTGTTTTATCATAAGACAAAAAGTAAATCAAATTTTTTGTTTCCTATAGGAGACTCATCTTAACAAATCAATGTTATACAAGAAAGAATAAATTTTACATAATATTTTCATGTAAATGAAGTCAATACACAATAAAATGTCAACCCAAAATGTTAAATAAATGCCCAACAAAATCAGACAGACAAAATTTGCAAAAAGAACTAAGGTACCTCAGCATTATTATAAAAAGCTGTGCTATTTTTTTCTTGTACATCTTCCCCTCGTGCTGTAAAGAAAGTTAATGGGTAGAAATCCTTGTGTGCTGGTTGCTTTCCACTGGCCATCAGTTTGCCCTCATAGAAAAGCTCAGATGTGTAACTGTAGAAAAAGATGGGAAACAAACAAACAAACAAAAAAAGAGTAATAGATCATCAAAATTAAATTCGCCCACAAGGTTGCCCTCATAGAAAAGCTCAGATGTGTAACTGTAGAAAAAGATGGGAAACAAACAAACAAAAAAAAAAAGAGTAATAGATCATCAAAATTAAATTCGCCCACAAGGAAAAAAAAAAGCCAGTCAATTCTAACAGTATTGCTTTATGTCTATGCTTAATTTTAGTCCAAACACCTAATACCTATGATGACAAGAATTTCTCCAAAAATAACCACAGCAATAGCAACAGAGTAGGCTCCTAGCATACCATTGTTAAATTGACGTTGGTAAGGTATGAAGCCAGAATATAGAAAGAAAAGGAAGAAATAATGACAGTTCAATACTAAATGAGATCTCTGCTCTATGAGGAAATTTGCTAGCCAGTGTATTTATTAGTTAATACATATTTTTATTTATGTGGATCATATACATACAAACACATAGATATATACAGACATTGAAACAATGCACAAAACTGAAGGACACTGAAGCCTTCAACTATAAAATGAATATACTTTACTGTTGAAAATACCATCTAGTACTTGACTCTTCACTGACTGCAGCAAGTGACTGGCAACAATAAAAGAGGAATCATATTTTTAAATATTGATAAAATAATATCTATCCAACTGCTTTCAGTTGGATAAAACATAAAAATGGTTTTCACATGACTAACATAATTGATATTACAAATTATACTAAACTTTAAAAAGTATAAGTTTCTGGAGTGGGTAGTGGCTGGAAATGAACACGAAGGAGCCACCCAGAATGCTGGTAATGTTCTGTTTCTTATCCAGATACTGATCACATGATGTGTTTAGATTGTGGCAATTTACTGAGCTGTCATTTATGCACACTATATTTAATAGAAATCTTATAGGGCCGGCCCAGTGGCGCACTGGATAGTGCGCTGCTTGGGAAGCGCGGCGGCGCTCCCGCCCGAGGGTTCGGATCCCACATACAGACAGACCGGTTCCCGCTCACTGGCTGAGCGAGGCGCGGGAGCAACACCGAGGGTTGCGATCCCGTTGCCGGTCCCCGGTCCAGTACGGGGGCAACACTGAGGGTTGCGATCCGTTGCCGGACACGGAAAAAGACAAAAGACAAAAAAAAAAAAAAAATAGAAATCTTATAAAAACTTATTAAAGTTTCATACTTTTTCTCCCTCCCTTTCTTCTTTTCTTTCTTCCTTTCTTTTAAAACAGATTCCTTTTATAACACAGCCAGAGACATATAAGCAAACCAGTATATACTTTGTAAATATTCTTGTTTATTATAGCAAGTCGATTCTCATATAGTATTTAGTCACAAACACATATATATAAATATGTATCATAGCTAGTAGAATCTAAAGTTTTAGTTTCCAGACTTGCCCTACTTGGTAAAAAATTACAATTCTGACTTTCAAGGCATTCTTTTCAAGACACAAAATTAAACATAATTTGTAACAATAGGGACACCATATAAATAACTCTGCTGGGAATAATCTGTCTCTAGTAACAGTGCTGTTCTGTGTTCCCTCCTGCCAGATCACAAAAAGTGTGATACAGAGGGGGCAGTTCACACCTACTTGATGATAGCTTCATGGGAGCGATAGTTCTCACATAGGAGGATCCTACATGGGAACTCGGCAGGGTAATGCTCATAGAGTCGATCAAGTAATGAAACGTGAAGGTTTCTCTCCCTGGCAAACTCGCTGTAAACAAAAGGACTGAGCTGTAACAGACAAACATACAGAGAAAATTTCACTCAATAAACAAATAAAAAAAATCCACTGTGCTCAAACTTCAGATGGACTAAACCTCAACATGTTGAATGCTGGAGAAAGAAAAATCAGTATTTTCTATGAGCAATTTTATTACCATAAAGAACTAGCCTAAAATTTCTAACATTTCTTTGAATTATACCAACACTAACCTAGAGTTTCTACACATAGGCTAACAAAGGGCTCTTCCACATAATAATAAATAGCTACGACTTCAGTAATTTCAGGGATGCAATCCACTTCATCACTGGAGGAGTCAAATCACTTATTTCACAAAAACTTATCAGCTATTTAAAATGAGCTGGTAGGACAGACAGCCTGTGACTAAGAAAATTATTTCTAATAATTAACAAAAGAGCCCTCTTGATCTCATAAAGTATCATTAGCCATTCTTGGCTATGCCTTTTACTGCTAAAAAATAAAATTAAAATAGTTTAGGCAAAGGAACAAAAACAGAATTTGTTCCACTACATTCAATTCTTTCCTGGATGCCTTGACAGCTATAATACCACATAGGTGCAATGTTAATCGACTGTGGGAGAAGAGAAAGAACCCCTCGGGGGGGAGAGGGGGAAAATAAAAAAAGAGAAAGAACCCCAAATTATGGCTTTGTAAAATAGATATCTTAGTAGAAAAGCTGTATTTTGCTTTCTTATAAGTAGATATTCAAATACATAATACATAAAATCAGACATATTCTTTGAGATTTTGACTACAATTTTTAATTAGGCCCTTTGTTTCCTATAATATCAAAAAATTAACCCTTCAGGAAAATAAATATTAGAGACAGGTTTTAGGGAACTGTAGAACGGATAATTTAAATTTTATTTTTAAAAAATTAATAAGAATCAGATATTCATACTATAGAAAACTGAGCTTCCAAATGAGCTTCCAATTAATAAACATAAAAATTATAACACTGGTAGATCTCATTCCTTCCAAGCTGTCTATCCGAACAAAGAAGAAAAAGAATAGTGAAATGGTAATTTTTTTTCAGAAATACCAATATTTTTGACTATTAATACAGAAATACGTAATGTACTTAAATGGTAATACATGGCACAAGTTCATAAAGTGTTTTAGATATAGAATATTAAGCATCAAAATATAATTAAAAGTTACTTTCAATACAATGATTTAGAACTTACCTGCATGTGATCACCAGCCAAGACAATCCGAGTGTTTTTAGTTGCTAATGCTAGAGGCATAATGGTTTCACACTCCATGGCCTGGGCAGCTTCGTCTAACAGAATGTGCGTGAAAAACCCTGGAAAATACAGCATAAACACAGTAAAGCATATTAAAGCAGCAATAAAGGTAGAAGGAATTGTTTTCTTTTCTGCTAAGAAGAGTTCAGTTTCCTAATCTAAGAGTTGTGAGTACTTTTAAGGCCTATCCTCAATTTAGACAATTGTCAATTTAAATCATCATTAAAAAACAGAGATTAAAAAGAACAACCTATTTTACTCAATAATAGATACGTAAATGCATCTGGTGCTAAGAGCCTGAGGACTAACGGTTGAATCAGTATATATAGAAAAGATTTTAAAAGTACCAGATAGTGGTTTTTGACCAAAAGAAGAGCAACTAAACACTGAAAGCCCTAAAGCCCTTTCAATATTTATTTGGTAAAACACCAAAAAATGAAACAATGGTATTTCTACTATTTCAAAAAATAAAACAATGTTACCCTAAATATGCATATTAAACATTAAAATAAAGAAAATCACCCCCAAAATCTAAAATAAAAGAGAAAGTTATAATCCGACTTGTATTGAAAACAAAGGGTATCATATTAGTAAATTCATTAATCTCATTGTTTAGGCTTATTTTACTAATTTGATTGTTTAGACTTATATACATAATTTTTTAATCGAAGAACCAACTCTGCTTTAAAAAATCACCATTCTGTAAAATACTGACTGATAACAAATGTCAAAAGTGTCCACTATCAAATGTTCCCAGATGAAAACACCTACAGTGGGAAGCATCCCACGTCCTGGTTGCCATTGCCACTCACACTAGGGCACAGGGTTCTGTGTGCAGGAAGGAGGAAAAAGTCCTTTTGCCCCTAACGGGAAAAAGAGGCAAAAACCTCCTTGATGCCTCAATGTAGAGAAGGAAAAACCTCCCCCCCCCCAACACCCCCCCCCCCACCACACACACCCCCAACCCACTGGGGTATGGTTTTTCCTAGCATAGCAAAGCAGTTTCTCAACAGAATGGAAACTTATAAAACTCTCTAGAGTCCAGTGGCATTACGGATTAACCAGCCTCTTGTGAGTTGGCTCAGGAACCTCACCTCTCTTTCTATCCCTGTTTCTATGAATATTAACAAGTTCCAAACAATCTGTTTAAACAATTTGCTAATGCAACCAGTTTCTAGGTTGGGAACTTCCTAAATCTTACTGACTGGCAGTAATAACCATCATCATCATCCATTTAAACAAATGGCTATGGCTGACAGTACAAGTATCAATAACTGTCATCTCTTTACTGACAACGACCCAAGCATGATGTAGACACATGTATTTTCCTCACTGTTGAAGAGAATTTGTGCTTTTGTTCTACGAGACTAATTAAGAAAAACAACTATATAAAATAAGATCAATCCCGCTCTCTGGCTGAGCGAGGCACGGGGGCAGCACCGAGGGTTGCAATCCCGTTGCCGGTCCCCGGTCCGGTACAGGGGCAACACTGAGGGTTGTGATCCGTTGCCGGACACGGAAAAAGACAAAAAAGACAAAAAAAAAAAGATCAAATTGGAAAAATTTCATTAGATAACATTTTAATTGGAGCTAGGCTTACATCAGGAACTGAATAAACCATGTAATTGTTATGACCACTGCTTAAGCTAGAAAAGGTAACTTGAATTAAAAAAACTGACTTAGCTTGTGAGCCTTGGTTTTCTTCTCTGTAATATAACCCTCCAAGGGTTGATATGAGAAGTAAATGAAATGATGTATAAATAATACCCAGAAAAAAGGACTTAGTCAACTCCCAGTGAGTGCATTATTCTACACACCAGCTCTCCAAAACCATTCTTTACTCTTTCTCACAAAACTATCCTGTTTAGAAGGTCTGGGTTTTCAATCAACATGGCAAATACACAGAGTATAATCATAAAGTAAAGACACTGATTGTTAAATAAACATACCAAAATTTACATTTCAAATAAGTACTGTTCCACTCAAAGAAGTCACTTGGGATGAAATATAACTCATTCCAATGATGCTGCTACTGTTCAAAACTTTTTTGAAACTTTGCTTTTGTAACTGCCCTCGCCAGCCAGCTATGAGCTGCATGCACAAGAAAATAATTCTTATTACATGAGAGGTACGTCTGATTGCTTTTTATACCCCAATGGTATCGATCAGTTTGACTGCCTACCTTTCTCATCAGATACATTGGAAAGATTTGGAAGCCATTCTAAAATTAAATCTATCTTCAATAAAAAAAGTTTAGCCAGCACTCTTTCATTTAAGATAAACAGTTTATCAAGGGCTTCCAGGTGTCTATATATCCTGGGCCAGATGCCAGGAATACAATATGAAGAGAACAGTCTCTACCTTCCAGGAACTCAGATGTTCAAAAGAATTTGACACTGGCTCTGAAAGCAATTCCAAAAGGAGACAGTAAAAAAGTGTTGAGCAACGCTAACAATTATAATATGGCAGAAATAAATGAATATTCTTCCAAAGCATCTACTTTAAAGTGATACTACTTTTTAATGGTTAAGTTCTGCCATATTTATCAGAACAATTTCTGATCATCTTATATCTGTACTTCATATAACATTACTTGGATTTCACATAGTTCCTATACTTAAGTATAATAATCTTAATAGTGTATCATAAAAAATCTTATCATGATAGTTGTCTCTACACTGCATAAAGCAAAAGCATTAACAAGAAGTCTAGAAAACTGTAAAAAACACCAACACTGATAATATTTGAATTCTTCATATGATCAATAATAAATAAATACTATCTGGCCAATTACGGAACAAATGGAATATGAGTCACTAAAATGTCTTAACAAGGAGTTGGCAAATTTTTTTTGGTAAAGGGACAAACAATATATATATTTTAGGTTTTGTGGGCCATACAATCTCTGCTACAACTATTCAACTCAGCTGTTGCAGCACAGAAACATCCACAGACAATAAATAGGTAAATAAATGGGCATAGTTGTATTCCACCCAATAAAACTTTATTTACAAAAACAGGCAGCAAGCCAGATTTGGCCCATGGGATGCAGTTTGCCAACCTGTGGTCTAAACTGAATGCATAAGCCCTAAACCTGTGAGACACCACATCTGTGTCTTGAGTCAGCATACCAGGTTCAAGGTCCAATTGACAGAGGTACTGAGAAGTATTCAATGTAACAACAACCACTCGATGTTTAAGAATATCTTCTTTCTGTGGCATCTGAAAGGTGGAATGTGCACTTGAGATCAAACAGTACTGATGCACTACTGGGTGGACAGTCTTTACCCAGCGATTTCTGAAATATACCCTATAAAAGAAGATAATATTTCTGATTTACATTTATTAATATCTTAACAGTATCTTACAAAAATATTGACATTTTAAGACTACACTATCTAAAAATTAACAAATAAACCTGATAACTGTTAATACTCTACTGGATTAGGATTTAAAATACAACTACTACTATACCCACTGCGACCTCCTCAACCAAAAAAAAAAAACAGATTTCAAAAGAAAGCATATATAATACCACAAAATAAGTACTAATTATTTTTAAGTGTTCAGACTAATCTTGAAACAGAGTGACACAAAAACAAAAGCTTTATAAGCACTATAGTTTTTTAAGTTCAAAACATTCTCATTCTGAAATTACTTTCTTCTAGAATATTCTCACAAAATATACTGAACTCATATTTTAATTATTTACATTAAGAAAAATAGTGAATTGCATATTTATAACAGAAATTCAAAAGTTATCTGCATTTTACTTTACAATATATTCTTATACCTATATTTAAATAGATCTCTGTTGGAGGTTCTGGAAATTTAGAAGTAAATTTAAATTTTGAACAATCAGAAAAGTCTTAAGAAAGTACATCTCTCCCATTAATTGCAAAAGAAAAATGTTAACCGGCCTCATGCAATAGATTATTAAGATGGCACAGAAACGATTCATCCACCCACCCACCCACCCACCCATCTCTAATCTACCCATATAATAAAGATCAATTGGGTATCTACCATGCTCCAGCACAGAGGCAGATCACAAAGGGCTGGGAGCAATCATAAAGTCTTTGGATTTACTCTGAGTTTAATAAAAAGCCATCAGAGAATTCTGACAGAGTAGTCACATGAAATGACTTGTGTTGTTAAAGGACCACTTTGTTTCTCCAGGCAGAATATATGGGGGAAAGGGGGGTGTTTGGACAGTGGTGTGCTAGTAAATGTTAAACAACCAGCTCTGGGGGGACGGGTAGTGTTTGCTGATTTCTGTGGTATAAAAATTACTACCACAGCCAATTTCAAGCCACTTGCTGTCACTGAACATGAACTTGGGCAGACATGCAAAGGATCAGCTCTCACGAGCCAGCATAAGTTGGCTCCAACACACCATTGAGTGGGATGGAGGTGGGGGCAGGAGGTAGAAGCAAGAGGACCAGTTAGGAGATTACTGTAAGAGTCTGGACAAGAGAGGATGGTGGTTTGGCTTAGGGTGGTAACAGTAGGGATGCGAAAATAGTCAGATTCACTAGACATTTTGAGAGTAATGTCAATGGAACTTACTGATGAACTAGATGTAGAATTTAAGAGAAAGGATGATTCCATGCCTTTGAAACTGGATGAATGATGGTGGTGTTTACAAAGGTAGTGAAAGAGAGGAACAGATGTGGGGTGGGAATTGAGAGTTCAGTTTTGGACATATTCAGTAGATATCCAATAGAATATACAGTAAGTAGGATGATATATAAGTTTGCAATTCAGGAGAATGCCAGGAGGGTTGCGATCCGTTGCCGGACACGAAAAAAGACAAAAAGGAAAAAAAAAAAGAATTATATTAATAAGCCATCACATGGAACAAAAGGATATTTTTTACTCGGCTTCCAAAAATGTTACACCAAAATCTGGTGCTTAATTAGCATACCTTCAGTTAGTCTAAATATTCACCAACAACTTCCTTTTCTCGATGAGCCATATTTTTTACTACACTCTTTTGTCTCTTACTCTTGTGTTAACAGTTTTCAATTTTACAGCCTCTGTACATTTGACTAGAGCTACCTTAAATTATTTTTGGAAGCAAAGCAAAATTGTTTTTTTTTTTTTTTTTTTTTTTTTTCCTTGTCCGGCAACGGATCGCAACCC